GGTTCGACAAGCAGGCCGCAAAGCATCATGGGTTTGAGTGCCTAATTCCAGGCGTGGCTTCAATGACTCTTTGACTGTCGTGGAGTGAACATCTCTCTGAGTAAACAAATATGGAAGCATTCGAAATGACAAGATTGTCAGGCTGCAAAACTTCGTGAAAATAGCATGTTATTGCTGTATTGTTGCGATCCTCATTATGACTTGTGTTTTACTATACCAAGTTTACCTTATATTAAATTGCATGGGACGTGCTGTCATTTTAGCTTTATAAATAATCCGTCTGTCAAAGCGAAGGAATTGTGTTTATATTCCCAATAGCGAGGCCCTTAATTCTTTCTCAGTTGGATGGCGTTAAATATCTGTGTATCATCAACGTGAAAACAAGCGCAGTATTTAATAGTTGACTTGTTATTTGGTCAAATTTCCGCTTTGCTGCTTTCAATATTGTACTGTAACTTTATAAATACACTGTACAAATTATGGCGTAATATTTCTAATAATTTAACCCTTTAGTTTGACCCTACTCCTGATGAGTTTGCTAACGAAAACACCCAGCATATGCTTTTGATTTCGATGTGGATCATATATTGACAGCGAATAGAATTGATGATGAACATTGGTTCTCAGATGAGTCTGAAGGTATATTGTTATTCAGTTATTTGTATGGTTTTATAAATTTTTGCTGAGTGTGATGCCTGTTTGTATCTAGTTGTGGGTTGTTGTTTAAATGTGCAAACTGTAATTTAATATTTTTTTAAAATTTTCATCTAAATATTGCTGTTTGTATATTTTTGCTAATTTTAGAGATGACAATGTATCAAATAATAATTTCCTTATTATGATTTTGTAGAAAGAGATTTACTTGAGTGGTTGGCTGGTCTTGAACCTGTTCAAGATGTATATGATAATGAAAGAGGTGATCAAGGTGATAGGGCAGAAAGTGATGACAAGTTAAGTGATGAAGACGAAAGTGATGGGGAGGAAGAAATCGCCCACTCTGTACCATTCAAGTGCATCGGTGCTGCTCATGAGAAAAACTACTGACATCATTTGGAAAATTAAGGCATAATACCTCGCTCTTCATGAACAAGATAAAACCGTGAATTCAATGTAAGAATACGGCCAGCACGATTGAATCCAAGGGACCCAAGTGCAATGGTCAATTCCAGCTTTTAGGTTATGCATGCAGGGGGTGATAGGAGGTAAAGTATCATCTTGCTGATAATGCTGAAAAAATAGAAATGGTGGACATGTAAACATGGATAGATAGCTATTGTAAATATTGAAATGTTTTGGTTGTTTAGGTAGTTTATTAAAATTTTTCAGCGTAATCAGCAATATGATACCTTACTTCCTGTCACCCCCTGCATGCATAAATTAAAAGCTGGAATTGCCTATTGATTTAGACTATGGAACTGTATGGATACATGTTGGTTATATTGCTTCTGAACTATGCAAGTATTTGCACCCACTAATTGCTGCAGGAGATGTCGTGGATGTCTATGTTCAGTGGATTATCAAGTATAGGGTTGACTTTTTTAATTAAAAATAGGATTTTATCCAAAAAATTTCATAAAGACACCTGGGGCCGGTTGTTCAAAGATGGGTTAGCACTAACCCTGGGTTAAAATTTAACCTGCTGTTTTAGTTTGTGTATTTCTACACATAGATCTGTGTATTTCAAAACTTCAGAGAAGTATACTCCTATCGATCCAGACAAGATCTCTGAAGAAATATTTCCAAATTTATAGAAAAGCTGTCAGGAAGTTTGCTTCAAATTTTAGGTTAACCATGGGTTAAACTAACCCAGCTTTGAACAACCGGCCCCTGGTGAGTGGAGACTCGAGTGGTAGGAAAAAGCATGAGTGTATGTTGACAGATGTTTTTTTATATAATAAATAGCAACTACCAAGCTATGTTTAGCAAGTTATTAGTGCATTTATTTCAATTGGCTAACTTTTTTAGTTTTTCCAGCATTTTTTAAACAAACCATAGGTTATGAATGATAACTGGGTATATCTAATTAAACCAATCTGTCATGTACACTCATGCAAATAAGACTAAGTACATAAATAACTGTAAAAAATGTACTTTAGTAAATAAATGAATATTTATTCATACACTTGACCTACTTTGTGAGTATTTTTTCAGATTAAAATTAATGCAACAATAAAACAAGAAGATGTCTATTTATATAATATTTATTATTAAATTGATTCGAGATCCCACTTCAGCTCAGAAACCACTGCCAGCAGGGAAAGATCCCACAATAACATGCCACTTTAATAATTTGTTATATGATACATAAAAACTTATTTTATTGCTTTAAAACAAGTGAAGCTCTCTGCTGGCTTGAAATGGGCTGTTAGGACACTGATTTGTCCATGCTGGGGATTCCGCAGCTCGGTTTGCCACAAAAACCCCAGTATCAGGCGATCAGCTCGTCTTGAAATACACTACGTACACACAATCCAGTCGCGTCGGCCAAAGACAACAAAACTTTGAAAATCGCACAGATATAAATTCTAAAAAAATATTAAAACAACTCCTAATTCTTCTAAATAATATTTTAACACTTTAACAAAAATTCATTGAAAATATCATCTTTGATGGCGCATTTTCTTTCCAAGGTATTAGACGCCATTTTAGCGAACGTCGAGTTGACAATAGTCACTTCAACGGTCAATATCTCGAAAACTGCCGGGGGATCACCGGGATCATTCCAGCAGATTTAAAGCTTATACTTTTGTCTTGACGACTACCAAAAATGAAGAAAATCGAACCATGGGAATTCTAGATATTTAATCACGGGCAATAGGACAGGTGTAGTGTTGTTAAATAAAAAGTTAGAAATGGTATTGTACTTACCCATGTATTATAATTATGTTTAGAAGATCAGAATATTCATAACTTCTTATTTTGTTTCATAAATAGTTCTTTAATATTCGAAACAAATTCCATATCTGCTTCGTCTGCCATCGCCATGTTTACTAGTGATGGGCGATACTATCGAAAAAGTATCGAAATCATCGATACTTACAAAAGTATCGATACTTTCGATACTCGCAAAAAGTATCGGTAATTCGATACCACTTGAGCCTGCGATGTTTTTGGTCAGTATTCCTGACCAATCACTTAATGCTTCATGAAGGCAACAGACTGAAGGCCCCTGAAGGCAAAAAATGTTGACATGATGCTGTTCTAAACAAAAACATGTAGCTAATTAGCAATATATTTGAGGAAAACATTGTTGTTTTGATTTAAAATCATAATTGCAAATGTTATGTTCGATTAATTGGCAGGTACTCCAGTTAGAGTATTCTTTGACTTGTTTTAAACATTAATGTTCGTGTTTTTAAAGTTATTTTAATAAATGGAAAAAATTGAGTATCGGTATCGATTTTGGTATCGGTATCGACCAAAATTCATGGTATCGGACTGGTATCGTATCGAAACCAAAAAAGCTGGTATCGCCCATCACTAATGTTTACTCGTCCCAATCTACATGCTACACGGCATTGCCGCCCCTCCTGGCAAAATAATAAGCAAGCGAGAAAAATTAGAAGAAAATAAGAGGGTAGGAACATCGTTGTCATAAGCTGGATGCAGTGACACTTCCATATATGGCACAAACGTATCCATAACTTCCATATATGGCACAAACGTATCCACGACGCGTTTTATAACGTTTTATTTGACGTAGGGATGACGTGTAATGCTGCTTCCCGCCTATGACGATTTGAATTAGTCATGTGATACAAGATTGAGAAAGCTGATTCGCCCAGAACGATGACACGCCCGCGAAACGCCCACAATGTTCCTACCCTCTTATTTTCTCCTAATTTTTCTCGCTTGCTTATTATCTTGCCAGGAGGGGCGGCAATGCCGTGTAGTATGTAGATTGGGGCGAGTAAACATGGCGGCGGCAGACAAAGTAGATGTGGAATTTGTTTCGAATATTAAAGAACTTAACTATTTATGAAACAAAATAAGAAGTTATGAATATTCTGATCTTCTAAACATAATTATAATACATGGGTAAGTACAATACCATTTCTAACTTTTTATTTAACAACACTACACCTGTCCTATTGCCCGTGATTTCATTTTAAACATTGTAAACATATTTAGACTTGAGTCAACACGTCGCGGGGAGTCGACTAACTTCAAACATCAAAATAACATTGAAAATAAAGTTTACCTCAGAGATTTTTGCAGATATCACCAGATCTTTAGCTGTAGTACTACAACACTTGAAATTTTGCAAGAAAATTTTAATATTAATATTTTTTTCCGATTTATTTTCCGTCGAATGCAAATTTTTCTGTCCAAATTCTGCAGATAACACGATGGAAAATAGAGCGATCTCATTGGTCGAGAACTCACGTGACAACTCGCTAATTGCTTGTCGTACCTCCTCTCTGTACTCAGACATAGATTTAGAATATTTTCCCATCAAATATGATGAGGCATTCTTTGTAGATCTAAAGTCTAAATTGCAGAAGTGGTATGAAGTTTATATCAAACCCCTTTTGACATCTGTTAAATGTCCCAAGTTATGACTAATTTAATGTACGTTGTTTAATTAATTAATGTTATAATAATAATAATAATAATAATAATTTATTAATTTATAAAGCGCTAAACACTATAAATATTCTAAAGCGCCAATAAATATTCTTAAGAGCTAATAAATATTCTCAAGCGCTAAAATGTTATTCAGGTTATTGTAAGTTATCAAATACTAATTAATTGATAATATTAATACTTATAATTATCATTCACAATGTTAAATTATTCTTACCATTAATAGTGGAATGGAAGATTTTGTGATTTGGACATGAATTTCGGACATGAAAAAACAAAGAGTATTTACAGTAGTTATTATTTTTCTAATCGGACTTTCTTTGTCTTTTAACAAATAGGAATTGTTGAAAAATTCGGTCTAAATCAGAGATCTTCCATTTTCTAGGAAACTGAGGGAGCCACCTTTAATGGTCTTATTCCTCAACTTCATGATCATTGATTTTAGGACCAACAGGCGGGCTCATATTTACAAGAAACCCAATTACTTTCCATGTTGGGTTAAGTATTAAGTCATACTGATTCATTGGCCAGATCTGTGAAAGAATGTGCCAGTTCCTCATTCTTCCAATGAATCGTTCCACATGAATGCGAAAATGAGCTATGTCAAAAGTCTTTGTACAATCAGCTACTGACATTTGATTGCCCTCCAACATGGGTGGTGCAAAGTGATGTAACCCTTTCTCTGCATAATTGTCCTGGATTGTAAAACCTCTATCGGTCATAACTCCTCTGCCTGACTCAACCTTATTTAGTACTCCAGATGCAAGTGTTATCTCATTATCTGAGGTCGATCCTGGCATAAGATCACTAAAAAAGCATCCAATGCCATCTGGGGTGATCCCAACTAATCCTTTTACAGTTGCACAGTTTTTGTAGGATGAAAAGTTCATGGATTGTAGGTCACAATTTGAAGCTCTTTGAACTTCTATTTCAGTACAGTCCAAGATAACTCTGGTCATGGAATACTTGGGCTTAAAATTATTTGGCACATACTTGTCAATATAGTCAATACTAGGTCATAAATTGATCTTGGCGACTATGCTACTCAAGAATGTTATCCATCCTTCAAACAGTCTAGACACTGTCTGTCTTGATAGACCTAATCTATCAGCCAAATCCTCATACTGCAACCCCAACCTTAACTTTACAAGTACTGCAAAAAGTTCATTCTTTCTACTTATCCCTTTTCGTCGTTTTGGTGTCGATATTTCTGGCTCAACGAACAAAAATAGGTACGCGACGCGTACATGTATCTGCGAAAAAACTTGATTCACATTTTCATCACTTATTATAATAAATATAATAGCAAATAAGATTTTAAAGTCAAACATAGTACAAATCTAACAAGGCTGTAGACAGCACTACAGAATAAGAAGTTACAGCAGAAGTATAATGCAAGCAAGTATTTGTCCGCGTTTTTACAAGTGATTTGTCATCAATCACGTCATCCTGGCTAGTACAACCGGCACTTTGCACCTACCAAAACCTTGTACTAGCCAGGATGGTGTGAGTGAGTTAAAATTTTTGTGGACGTAAAACAATAAGGGAACCGACTCAAGTTACACTTCTGCTGTACCTTCTTATTCTGTGACAGCACGGAAAGCAGCAGGGGCAACTCACCACCCCCCCCCCCGCCGAGAAAATTTAACTAATTTTTTGTGATGACGATTGGGTCATTCCAGAAAACATTCATACCACCCCCACAGAGGAAATAGGAAGTTAACCCCCCTACTCCCTTTGCATGCCCTGATACATTTACTATTATGAGAAACAATTTTTTCTCCCCTCCCCCTCCGGACGGCAGAAATTTCCTCCGTGGGGTGAGTACAGTTCTTTTCTGGAACGACCCATTGTAACTCGGATAATTATGCAGTCAAAAAAATAAAAATTTCATGCAAACAATATTCGAAGTGTCTATTTAGAAAACTGTCACTTGTCAATCCATACCCATTTTCAAAACTTTATTGTAATCATATGAAGCAGAAGTTCTGTCACTTGTTGTTTACACTTGAACATGCATCACTGTAGTGAAGAGTCAATCATATATCAAAGACCACTGAGAATGTTTTGAAGGTCTAGAGAATGTTTTGAAGGTCATTAGTGAAGTATATAATTCAATTCCAATCCTGTGCACAGTTAATGATATACCACACTGTTCGGTTTAACACAGCATATCCACACAAAAACAATTTGTGTTGTGGGAGAATATCAGTTTGAGTAGAAGGTATCACAAGTTTAGTTTTGTACATATTGTGTGCCATTGATCTGATCCATCCATATAATATATGATTATTGTAGCTGTTAAGTTATTATCCATACTAATGAATTTAGGTAAGATTGTCTTGCAAGTGGGTTGTTCTGACAAAATTATCTAGCCAAATCCAGTACATTTATTCATCATTCTTGCATTAATCTCTAAACAAAAACATTTATGTTAGAAAGCAAAATAACAATATAATGAGGAGGGAGAGTGGGGATTCTTTTATTAGCATTTGAAAATGTTTGTAAACATTTTGTTTAAAAACTCTAATCACTGTTAAACCAAAATGTATAAGTATTTTAACTGATAACATCGAACAGAGTTTACTACAGAAATACAGGACCAGGATTTAATTCAATATCTCCTGAGAACATAATAGTTTCTTGTGACATTGTTCATTGTCATTGACAAATATATTGCCTGCTATGTTTTGACTGTTTAAAATATTACACAACAAAATGATTGTTTTACTGTATAAATACATAATAAGATAATAAATATGTCGTATTTGACTACTTACCAGATGAGGATAAGTTTCCATGTCGATAGTAACTTCGGAAAATAGCGCAAACAAGACAAAATCAAGATATTTTCGAAGCCCAAATGTGAAAATGGCAAAGAATAACACGAGGCCAAACGCCGCCCGTTCGCAGGTTAGATGCGGGCACGACGTAAACAATTGATGTAAACGAATCGCCGATTGGCTTAAATTGGCTTAAATTATATAAGCCCGTCGCTGAATGGCTATCTGCTAACATACGGTACGGTACGGTACGGTCACGGCACGTTTGCGATAGCATATATATCTGCTTCGCAGATACAAAAAGATAGTAATCAGGGGTCGGTTGTATAAAACTCTTAATCACTTTTTTAATCACTATTTTGTAGTTAAATAGTGATTAACTCTCAAATACGCGCTTCTTATTGGATGACGTTTCCACTTAATCATAGTTAACTTTAATCATTTTTTTTATACAACCGGCCCCAGGGCGCTTATATAGTGGGCGGTGTAACGCGCTGATGTCGCGCTGATCGATGTGTGATGCGGAAAAGGACTGGCACTAACGTGCTTTTCGGCAAAAGTTGACAAGGAGCGTGATTTTTCCTGTTGTTGTATTTTCGCTGTTTTTTCATTAACTACGAAATTCTTGAGGATGTTTTTGCACTGTAACGACGAAGTAGTAACTAGTGAATCGTACGAATGCTTGTTTGGCCTGTATAGTTGAATTTTGAGTCGGGCTTTTGATGACTTCAATGAAGGGAAATTTTCAAAACAGCATTTGGGCATGTTATCAAGTCGTCCAAACTTCGAAATTCAGTTGATGGTAAAGATTATAATTATGTGCTTATCTCCAAAAGTTTTCATAAGACTCGGAGTTGAGCAATTGAATATAGTACAGCGTTGGAAAGTGAGGTATTTTTGTTTGTTAAATTTTGCCTCGTTAGACCATTATTTCGCTGCAAAAAATAAACAACAATTGTATTTTGGCCATGTCATGATTTTTGTTATTATATTAATAATTTTGTACGACTTTTAAGGCATCCAATTGAAGTAATTCTGAGCCGTAAGCATATTTTACTTCTTGGCCTTTGAATCAAAATACGATTCGCTCGGACCTTTGTTGAGCGCAATAGTCGAAAAAGTTTCGTCCCAACTTTGATTTTTTTTGACCGGCTGGCCAAGACAACTTCTCGTAAGGATTCGTTAAAAAAATACAAATTCAAGTTAAGCATTTCTTGATTTTCAACTGAAAAGATCAACTAGTGGCTAAAATTAATTATGAATTGTATTCTATCGAACGTGAACGATACGTGTACGTACGAAGAGTTTTAAAAACCTTTCACGTCATGCTTCTTGCGAAAGCAACCGTTCGTAAGCTTTCGCAAGCGTTTTGAGCAAAAACTCTAAAATATTGGCAGTATTACCTGAAAATACAATAGCAGAATCTACTAAATTTTCGTATAACATCGGAATTTTACCCCCAATATCTATTTCTTCATCAAAACTTGACTACAAAACAGTCAAAACTTCCAGCTTAGTTTTCCCACCATATGTATCCTTGCCATAAGACAACGTCGCCATAGTAACCACAACAAACTCCTTACCAGTTCATTGCATCACACATCGATCGGCGCGCCTATAGCCGTTTCACCGCCCTATATATAAGCGCCCTGATAGTAATTAATGATATAGCGCGCGACGATGGAACATATTTTACGATATCAAGTAGTGCAAAAATGAAAACCATGTTAGTCTATATGACTATATCGAAGGAATGTATATTAATAACAACAGTGAAACACGCAATTTGATTGGTCAACAGCCGGGCAGGGTCAAACAATCCTGCAGGGGAAATTCTGAACAGAAATTCTTACACATAATTTTACAAATATACTTGCATTGTAAAGTTTCATTGTACGATACCTTTCGACTTTGAAGTGAGTTTGCAATTATTGAGACGTTGGTTTGGTTTAGTTGTATGAATACATTTCTTATCGATACATTGCTGTTCAGCAAGTAGCAACGCGTAGGCGCGTAGCGTTCAGTGAAATTCATCAGACAATGGAAAGTACAACATCTCTCGCTAGTCGCTTCAAAGTTCAAACGCTTCGCAATCTTCAAGTATTCAGGTCGAAAATTTTCAAAACTACTTTGGCTCTCTGTTTAGCGGATTTTCCATTTCAAATTTCGTATATTTTATCGAAAAAGTCTCTGTATTGTAAAAGACTTCCTGCATCGGTAAAAGCACCAACAACTATTGCTAATTTTAAATCTGACTTGAGGCATGCAAATTAACATCAAGTGATCCTGCCATTGTTTCTATCTACCTAAAATAATTTTTTTGTAATTATTTCTTATTTCTGTTTGTGTGAGCACGGCCGGTTGGAAGATCACTTTTTTTTCTTTTTATATCTTGTACGTAATTAATTTTAGTATAGGTGAAATTGTACCGTGTTGAAATATAGTTCACTGACAATAATAATAATAATAATAATAATAATTGTCGCTGTATATTTTCGCGAATTTGCGATCTAATTCTGTTCACATATGTTGTTGTTTTCAATAGCGTGGAGTAGCGATTCTCCGATTGGTTAATTCACGATTGTTGTGAGAACTGCACATTTCATCAGTAATTTTAATCAAGTTAACCGTCGTTTCACTGTAGTAATTTTATAAAACAATTACCAAATGGTTTTCCCTTGCAGGATAGCATGATCCATGCACTTGGGATGTGGCTCGACTTTCAGAAAGCGTAAAAATACACTCGCCAGCGGCTCATGTATTTTCACGCTTTCCGAAAGTCTCGCAACATCCCTCGTACATGGAACACGCAATCCTGCACGGAAAACCATTCGGTATTCCTTTAATATAGAATCCAGTATGTCGTTGCATACATAATGTTTGTAGGCCTACGTCATTAGAATCGGGTTAGGTCTACACGGTCTGTGAAATATATTTGTCGAATGTGTAACTATAATATATGGGTGTGTAATATATTTGTATTACATTTTTTCGAATGCGCTGGTCGCGTGTAAATTAAGGCAAATAGAAAGCCAAGCACGGTTTACACAAGGGTCAGTGACAGTGGAGTATTAACGCACGAAGTCTTTGGGATATATTTGTCGAATATTGAAAGCAAGTTGAATGTCATTACCAATACAATACATATGGGATCGAATATGTCGTTGTTTAATTTA